TCCTATTTACAACTACTCGTTTCAATAGTGTTCTTAGCTGCGAGGATCTCCTAAGAGCAAAATCATGTTACCACTTCAAAGTTAGGGTATCCAGAGTATACTTGAGAAATGAAGAGGTTTGGTTAACAAAACACCTTAACAAATAGATGGACACTTTGGTCTTGGCCAAATACTAAGTAATTCTGTCAAAGCATAAATATTTGAGACAACTGATCATCAGAACTGAACTGTTAAAAAAAAAATTCAGTATCATAGAACAATCATTTACCATATATGTCTGTGTATAAGCTGCACTTTTTTTTTCACAAAATTGAAGCCAAAAATCAAGGGTGTGGCTTATCCATGAATACATCTGTGTTTGGAGTTCTCAAAAACCTAATTAATATTCATAAAACTTCTTAAGATGCTAAGAAATAAAAATAAAAGAAACTGAGAGCGTGTTGCTGTAGTTCATTGACTTTTTCATTGAGTGGTTGCCCCTAAAGGAGCTGTTTGTGTCTTCAAGTGTTTATCGGCGAATCTTGCCCTCCAAGGGTTCTTTAAAGTGATTAATTTTTGCTTTACTCAAACAACTAAACACCAACATACAAGGAATCTCTCGATGTTTTTTACTACCTTCATGGAAAATTTGTCGACTGCATTATCAGACTCCTGTTCATCATGAAGTTTTTCGCCTAATGCAGGTTTCCAAACACCTTTTTCGCATGGTATCCCTGAACAGCAGAGTCGACGATGGCCAGGCCCTGGCCCAGACTCCTCCCAACATTTAAAACTTGGCCACTAAGCACTTGTTGGTTTTCTTTTCTGTTTCGCTTTCTTTAGACTTGATTAATGTGAAAGATAGCCACAACTTCTATGTCGGTGTTTCGAAACCTTGATTGTTTGTAGCAATACAACTCTACTGAAACTTCAAACTGTATTGTTTTTATCTTTTTCCAAATTCTGCGCTTCCAAATTGGGGGTGTGGCTTATCTATGGATGCGGCTTATACATGGACGTTTATGGTACTTCATTACACAAACTTAACTTACTTTTCTCAGTAACATCATCATCTTGTTTAAATTTCTTGCCTCCAGAATCTTCACCATAAGTGTCTGCCTTTCTTTTTTGTTTATATCCTTCCTCATTTTCTATCAAAGGCTCCTGGAGAAGATAAAACACTGATGTGGTCCCTCTGTTTTGTCATCTTGTGAAACAATGCTCTTAGTTTTCCAAGTTAATGACTCAACTGACTTAAAGAAGCATTGATCTACTGTGATGTACCAAGAGAGTTACTATTGACTGGCTGAAGGATCAATTAAAAATATGAACCTTCATATGGAAGTGAATGTTGTTGCAACAATAATACAGGTGACAGAGGTTGATTCAAAATTGAATCAATAAAGTAAATAGTTAATTTCCTATATAGGGTATGTAAATAGCAACAGTAGTTGGTCAACTGAAAATAAATGTCCAACAAAAAGTCACAAAGGAAGGTCATTTAAAAACCAGCAAAGTCTAAAACCCCTGGGTTTTAACCTTAAGACAAGTGTTTCTACTTTATACCTTCAGCTTCTTGGATTTCTTGGCCTTGACTGGTTCCTCATGAAAATTGTTCTTTCGTTTCTTGGCCTGGGTTGTATCCTCAGCAGCTGGTTCATCTTCATTCTCACTCCTTGAATCTGATTCAGACTTCAAATTCTCATTGGTTTCCTTTGAGGCCCTATTACTGGAGCTTTTAGTTCCATTTTTATTTCTTTTCTGTCTACCTTCTTCGTCAGAAGAATCAGAGCTAGAATCAGAAGATGTTTCTTGAGGTTTCACTTCATTACTATTATTTCCTTTCTGAGTTTTTGTTACTTTAGGTCCTTCCTCTTCATCATCTGAAGAATCTGAGCTGGAGTCAGAGGAAGCTTTCTTGGTTATCACCTCTTTCTTTTTCTTTTTTATCTCTGTGACTCCTTTCGATTTTTCTTCTTCTTCAACTGATGAATCTGAGCTGGAGTCAGAAGAAGCTTTCTTGGTTTTCACTTCTTTCTTTTTATTGTTCATCTGTGCAACTACTTTTGATTTTTCCTCTTCATCATCAGAAGAATCAGAGCTGGACTCTGAGGAAACTGCCTTAGAATTCACTTCTTTCTTTTTATTCTTAGTATCTATAGCTGCTTTTGATTTTTCCTCTTCTCCATCAGAAGAATCAGAGCTGGATTCAGAGGATGCTGCTGTAGGTTTGACTTCATTCTTTTTGTTCTTAACCTCTGGGACTGCTTTTGTTTTTTCCTCTTCTTCATCGGAAGAATCTGAGCTGGATTCAGAGCAAGCTGCTTTAACTTTGACTGCATTCTTTTTATTCTTCATCTCTGGGCCTGCTTTTGTTTTTTCCTCTTCTTCATCAGAAGAGTCAGAACTGGATTCAGAAGAGGCTGCTTTAGGCTGTGTCTTTTTTTTTTTAATTCCATTCTCTGTCCCTGCTTTTTGTTTTCCTTCCTTTTCATCAGAGGAATCTGAGCTGGATTCTGATGATGCCCTCTTAGGAGGAGGTTTCTTCACTACTTGTTGTGATTTGAGAGGTTTCTTTTCTTCTTCATCTGATGAATCAGAGCTTGAATCAGCAGGTGGTTCAACAGCCACTCCTCCAGCTGGTTTCCCATTTGACTTCTTTTGCTCAGTTTTCTTTTTAAGCTTCTTCTTTGTGGTAATTTTTGTTTTCTTGTTGTCATCTGAAGAATCAGAAGAGTCTGAAGACTGTGCTTTTGTCTGCTGTGGTGTTACCTTCATGGCTGTTTCACTATCACTTGAGGAGGACTCATCACTTGATGTGTCTCCTTGTGTGTTTTCAATTCCCCGCACTTGTGGTGCACCGAGTTTTTCCTTCTTTTGATCTTTAAAGATAGCTTGTTTTCTGAAAATAGAATGAAAAAAATCTACTATTAATAGATGATAATGTAATTATTAGTAAAAACTGCTTACGGTATTATATTTCAGAAAGATAAGGAGGAAGATTAGGTTATCAGGATCCTAGCCATTTTAAATTTGAGTGCACCAGTGGAAGAAACAACCTTGGAACTTCAATTTTGAGTCAAAGTAAACTGGCTTGTTTGTGCCCAGCAAGAAGGTGTTTTCAAATAGATTTGGACAGAAAATACCCACAAGTGAATTGTCATACCAGTAATTGTTTTATTAGCTGTGTAATTGTTTCAGTTCTGTCCTGGCTACTTTTGTTATCTAAATGAATCAGTATCATGCAGGTTAAATATTTCAAAACATTGAAGTAAGGATGCAAAAGACCAACTTAATTTGAATGTTTCTCAATTTTAGAAGGTAGCTGTTTACAAAGAGGAACTTTTAAATATTTTTACGATGAGTTACTATTAGAAGGGTCAAAAAAGCTTTCACATGTAATGAATTTCAAGGTTTGAACTGCCAACCAATCATACTCCATAGATGAGTACCTTGACCCAGCTTCATCCTCATCTGAACTTGAGTCCTGTTGAGGATAAAAGATATTCATTAAAAGGCAAAAATATGAAGAAAGCAGAAAGCGACCCATGAAAAAATTTCTACAAATATGTGTAGAGGTAAAATCAAATATGTGTAGAGGCAAAATCTTGTACTGTATAGCAATGCTAAAAAGACACCAGAACTTGTTCTCTCAAAGAAGTAAATTATCCAATAATAAAGGGTATTTAGGTGAAAAAGGTAAAATTCCTGAAAGGTTTCTTCTGTATGATCAAAATAGGGTGAACACTAAGGTATCTTAAGGATTGAATGACATTCCAGGTCACTCCAGATAACTCTGTAGGTCACTTCGCTGTTGTGAAGACAGTGATTTCTGAATGATCAACACTTCTTTAAACTGACCACCAGATATCTGATTGACTATTCACTGACCACATGCCCCTAATTCAGATAATGTTAAGCCTGAGAGGCCAGCTAGGGGGTCAGTCAATATTCCAAGTTCACCTATGATTTTATTTTCAACATTTTCAAATATAACACGCATCAAGTAATTAACAAATCTTAGTGTATCTATAGTAATACTTCAATTCATTTGATGGTTCCATTATCTCATCTTCCAATGTTTCCTACTTATCATGACATACCATACTACAAAAAGACAAAACAAAACAAAGGGAACCTGTATTTCTACACTTACATCCGAGTCTGAAGGGGGCTGAACTGGAGGAGGCTTCTCTGGTTTTCCTTTACCTGCCTTTTTCTGGATTTTAGCCTTGACTTTCTTTGTTCCATTAATTGCATGAGGTTTCTGTTCCTTAACCTTCGACTTTTTCTCTTTGTCAAGCTTTTTAGATACATCTACTGCCTTTTCCTGAATAAAAATATCAATTTTTGTGTGCTATCATATTGGCTGCTTTTTTTAAATTTTACATTCATGGTTGTTCACCTTATGTATTATGCCACAACAACAAACTCCTGTACATGGCCATATATCCCAAGTACGTGCTACTCATAAGGGTTCCACTCACTCTCATGGTCAGTTATCAGTAACCAAAGTTATAATTTTTTAAAATAAACCTTTGTGTTGTGTTTTAGATTCCTGAAGCACTATGATAAACTACAACTGGACATTACCAGTTTTATATAACTCTCTGAAATTAATTTTGAAAAGCATGTGTTTCAAGCATTGGCCTTTTAACAAAGAGAAGAGTTGTTCTGACAACTAAATGTAGACAGCATTTTGTTGTGATCAGGGACCTTCCCTTCAACCCTCAGCTTTTTAAAATTAACTTAAGCAGGGCTACCAAGTTTATTTTACTTGAAAATTGCCATGTGGTGACCAAAAATCATCAAGTGATTGCTTGAAACAAATGTTGGTCACTAAAAGAAGGAAAAAGACACTTAGTGCAATTGTGCATGATAGAAAAAACTGCTAACCACAGCAATTGTCTTTGGAAAAAGCAGAATGGCTGGCATTGGTTTTTGGAGATTCGTATGATATGACAAGGCTTAAAACTCTTGTGACCACGGTAAATGTTATCTCTGACTTCATACCTACATGACCACCGAACACACGTCACTACCTGGGTGGCTTGTGTCGTAAATTTAGTTGCCAAAATGTTTTCTCTAACTGCCACCAAATCATTCGAATCTTGCAGCGCTTCTTCAGAGGTTTAACTACCACTTTCAACTTCTGGTTGTTAATGAAATACGAGTTCCAATTGCCAACTCTTTTTCTGTCTCTCTGTAATCCTTTGAAGACGAATTTACACGTGCACCGAGGATCAGTTTTCTATGCTTGAGAGTAAACATGCTTTGGATGGTAAAAAGAAGTTGGACAGAGAGACTACGCAATGAAAAGAAAGTTACTCTTGTTTTTCTCCTCGCCGGAATAATCGCCAACTGATTAGATGAACACTGATCCTTGAAGTTTCAACGGCTGAAAGTATGTGGCCAAAAAGGTTTTGAGCCTTGTCGTTCCGCTCAAAATTCAACCTCGACATTCCGTTGCTTAAAAATGATCAACACTCTTCCTCCCAGAGATAAAAGCCAAAATTTTAAAGAGTTAAAAGAAGTTTGACGACGTTTGTGTTGCGCAATTTAAACACGTGCTCAGCTGCCGGGAAACAATTTTTTGCAGCGACGCTAAGCCCTTGATTTCCTTTTGCTCACTTCATAACTTAACCTCAATGGAAATGCCACATTTTTTAAATAGCTCCATGCGCTTTTAAACAGCCCATGGAAGATTTGAGAAACTCACTTTCATGTTGGTTGACTTGTAGTATAACAGATTGCCTCTCTAAACCACGTTTATACACCAGACTAACCCCGAAAATGTGGAAAGAAGAGAAAAGATGCTTTTCTTACCTTCTTGGAAGTGTCAGACTTCGCCATTTTCGAAGTGATTACAACAAGCCCGCAAAAAAAAGGACCACGATTCCTCTCCCACGTGTTCGAAGAGATACGACTCGAGGGAAAAAGGCTGCTAGAGATTATTTATCTAGAAGTTAAGGTAGATTGGTAACGAATAAAAACAATCCCATGAACCCCTATTCTCTCCGGCTCAACCTCATCCCCAGTAGTTTTCGGTCAGAATTTTGATGGATCAGAGACGGCAAATAGAATACCTCCCTTCTCGGGTCATTACCGGGATACTTCAACCCTCAGAGTTTTTTTTTCAGGTAATGATGCAGCTATCTTTAAAACTGATAAGGAATCTCCCGGGAGGAGGTTCACCCACCCCCTGCCGTCCCCACAAACACACTACCACGTTTAGGTGATGCAGTTGTGAAAATGGACCAATTTTGGCGTTTCTTTTAGCCTACTTTGCATCAATTTCAATTCCAATTTTTTAAGGAAAAATTTGAAACAACATATGAAAAAATACAGGATAGAAAATTTGGATCTTTTAATTAATATTTTACTGCCAACCTTTGCAGCTTCATTGTTGGCACATGTAAACAAATGGAAGTATAGCACAAATAGTATGCTGCGGTGCTTAACATAGGCTAGGGAGATAACCTGCTGCGGTGGTTTATTTTGTTAACCTTGCAGTATGGTAGGGATAGAGCATCCCTTCTTTTATTCCCCTAGAGCTTACAAATTTTTGCTCTGCTGTTCCTATTGCACCACGATAGAGACACCTGATACAGGTCTAAGTAGGAGGTGACTGCTGCCTCACACAACCATACTCCATCTTATAGAGCTCTTTGTAAATTTATATAAACACCCTTACAATTTCCCCAGTCCTGGAAAAAAATATTTGCAAGGGAGGTAGAAGGAAAAACAAAACTCCAGGTTTCAGATGCTAATTCTGAAACAAGTGTCACTTAAACATAATTTTAATTCTTAAACAACAACCATTCTGAGGGAAAGAATGACAATTTAAATGAATACAACTGACTTGCGCTAATGAACAAGAAAATCAAGTGATGTCCTCCATCCATGCTGATGTTTTAAAAACATCAATTTTAATTTCCCCTTGTGCTTTGACTATATCTTTGTTCATGTGACATTTCCCTATGACTACTTTTCTCTGACCAGGGAGAGGCAAGCAAACCCAGCCCCTTATATTCCTCAATCACATCCCTTTGTTTTTTTCTGGGTTAGACTTAAGGAGACTTCAATGGCATGTGCAAAATTATAACATTGCTTTATATTAAGAGTGAAGAATTCAAATATACAGACCAGACTTCCCATCATTTTTTATCAAAATACATACCCTTAATCCAAGCTGTCTTCCCCTATTTCATTTATTTTAATTTCACATCCAGACTTATTCATTTATCCTAGAGATGCTCAAATATTCCTCATAGTTTTCTACAAGTTCTGCCCATTTCAGAGCAAACTTCAGTAACAACGGTTGCAAATGTATCATTGGAAGGGTATAGAAGGCCGCAAAGATACATAAGCTGATAGTTAGATCAGGGAAGTAGGCAAGTTTACCAGGAGTGTGAGCAGGTGAAACTTGAGCAAAGAGACCTCACCATATTGATACAGCAGTTGATATCTGGTTCACAGCAAAAGGGCTTCATTACCCTCAAGCCATCATGCTTTTTCAATTTTTGGCTACCTCAGATAACAGATAACTTGAAAAATTACCTAATGTGACAAAATTAACAGAAACAACTTCTAAAATTGTTAGGTAAGCTAATAAATAAAACTGGAGCACAGTCAAAAAACATTTCATGCACTCAACTTAAAAAAAAATTTATGTAACTTCTCCACTTCAAAGAAAAGAGATATTGTGGTATGACAAAGAATAAGCAAGCAGCTTTTTAAAAAAAATATAACAAATTTCCTAGTATCTATTGAATGACAGAGCTGCTACCTGGCGATTAAAACCTCTCCACTCTTACAACCAGAGCTGCCATAGGTAAAAATTGTTCAAAATAGCTCAGTGGAGGTTACATAAATTATTAAATGGCTGCCAGTAAACCATCTTTCAGGCGACTCTTTGCAAGTTCTGACAGGGCCTGTAAACAAAGCAACAAATAATTAAAAATTATTGTCAACTTCCACTAACATCATGTAATTTATTTTTGCATTTTGTGTGAATTTGATTGAAAATCATTATCTTTCACCATGCTTGAAAAAAAAAAACAAACAAACAAACCAACAAAAAAAACAACAACAGCCACCATTCAATTCAGTAAATTTCCTTAATTCAGGGTCTGTTCTGTAATGAACCACAGTTATTGTCCACAGCAAATATCATAATAACCAAAACAACTAGTTTTCACCCAACACCCCAACCAAGAAATGAAAACAAGAAAAGTGAAACACGAGTGAGCATTAACTTGTATTTTATGACTTCCTTTTTGGTGTTTATGAATTCTTCTGCTTACACTTCAAAGGAACTCTTAATATTCCTTGATACTTCTTGGTAAAAGACATTAATCATGATATAAAGAGTCAAATTTCAGTAAAGAAAACATAACTGCCATACTATGGCTAGCATATGTTTGGTTTGGGTCCATAAAACATCTTAAGCTTATAGAATTTTTCTCTATCTGCCCATTTCTGAGAGAACAGGCTTTCATTTTGCAATATAACAACCTAATTACTAAACACACAGACCTTGAAAGATCTGGGTTCATGTATAGCAAGGTCTGCAAGGATCTTCCTGTTTAACTGGATATTGCACTGACAAAGAAGAAAAGAAAACTATTTTAAACAATCATAGTAATATTGCCTGCGGTGTTTTTTCCTCAGAGAGGGCAATAAAACATTTTGCCTTTTTCAGCTAATACAGTTTACCATAACAAAAATGAATTCTGTGTTTATATTACATCCACTTAAAAAAGAAATGTAAGTGGAAAATCCCTTAAGTAAACATGGTTATGAAATAAACTTAGTAAGCCACAGCAAAAGAGTATCTTTAATGCATTGTCATTGTATACATGAATAAAAATGCCCCACCAAATGTAAACTGTCCATACAAACTCACTGGTTTAGACTGAGATTATTTCTCATACCTGGGCCATTTTGTTGATGAAATTAGAGTAGTTGACATTATGCTCTCTTGTAGCAATATTTATTCTTGTTATCCAAAGCTGTAAGGAGAATAATGAGAACATTAATCATTTAATTCCCAGATTAAAATGTAATCTCTCCCTATAATATCCATACTTTATCCAACAAACAGGTGTCGAGAATACTCCTGTAACTAATTAACGAATTGTTATAATTAACTCACAGGGAAAATTGCAGCAGCTAGAGAGGAGAACTAACAATCAGATCTCGAGAGTTAACACAACGTTTTGAAAAGATTGTGTCAAAATCATTTACTACCAAGTAAAAAGAGGTAAATTATGACTCACTGCACGCATTTCTCTTTTCTTTAACCTCCTACTAATGTATTGATATTGCAGAGCCTTATGTACTCTTCTAATTGCAATACTATAGCAGTTCTTTGAACGACCGCGGAAACCCTGAAATAAACAAAACAGGAAAAGGACAAGGAGAAAGTCAAGCATGTTCTGATAATAACAAAAAATTAAGTTATTTTCTTAACCCCAGGAATGGTTCACGTTTTTAGAAATATTAAACAATTGATAAATTTGTGGTTTTTATTGTTCAACATGGAAAGGCTGAGGTCATGTCCTGTTGAGATATGTCTATTTTCAGAAATTACTGTTTTTAAGTTAGAGTGAAAAAAATGGTAATTTGGTGGGGAAACATTTTCAACCAGAATAAAGCCAGGTTAAAACAGTTGGAAAAGCATGGGTAGCAGCCACTATCAAATTCATGGGCTTCTAGAAGTCAACTGCGGTCATCAGTTGCCAGCCACAATGCTTGTTGCAAGCAAAAACTGAAGTAGAGTTTCAGATGATATATTGAAAAGCTAGAAATTCAAGAAGCTACAGATTCATTATGCTATAACCTAGCCCAAAGCACTACGAATTGTGTCAAAAGATATAAAATGGTAACCCAGTTGTCTTCCCTAAACTTGTGAAAGTAAAGAAGTCTGTTAATGACTGTAAGTATTGTCTTTTAACCAAAAAACAGTTGCTTATGTCCTCTATTGGATGATTGGTTCAGGTTGGAATGATTGATCCCCAAAGAACACAACCCAAGAAATGAGCTTAAGGTTCAAAGTCATTATTATCTCTGGCATCTGCAAGAAAGAGTGCCTTTTGCCTGAAATCCAATCTAACTTTGTAAGGCAAATTGGCTCAACTATTCCAAATTTGCAAGCAGATTTGAACTCCCTTATCAAAAAACCTTCTAAAAACTTGACTCCCTCAACTCAAGCACAAAAATTGTACTTGTGCAGGGCATGAGAAGTAAACAGACAATTTGGAAACTTTAGAATAATGCAAATGGTAGGCTTTACAATTCAATTTCCTGTGAGATTACTAATCATTCTTTAGAAGATACAAAGTAAACATGTTCCAAAAAAGAAATCTCAAAGTTTTATTTTCATTATGTATGATGGAAGTAGAATGGCTGTACCTCAGGTATTTGTTCAACTTGAAACAAGCTACCCAAATTGTATTTACCGTAGTTCTTTTATTGTCTCTGCTTTATCTAGTTTTCTGTCCGAATTAGAAGGAAAATATTTTTCAATCGGACGAATGTGGTGAGGGAGAATGAAATATTTACAATATTTGGATGTGAATATATATAATTTTTTCCTGACTCACTCCAAAGACAAGCTGTGTGGTCAAGTGTTAAGTATGTTCAATCTCAACATGCTGAAATAGCATCTAGGAAATTTTCCATACGATTTCTACACGAATGAACGTTACCTTTGCAAGAGCAAGGATTTTTGCCCTTTTGATGGCCCGACTTGGTGGAGGAGCCCGCACCATGGTTGATCCTTTTGCTGAATGTCCCCTGCGCTCTCCAATAATACGCCTACACTCACTGTTAACTTGATGTCACTTTCCCTCTTGACAAGATCCCTTGCCAATATATTCTGCTCGGATTCAGTTAGAAATATTGTTTGTGTTTTCTGGGCTGTTGTTTTCGTTTGAAATTTGCAGCTAAGCAAATTAGGAAGAACAGCGTTGTACGGTTAACTTCTGAAGTCCGCGTGTTGAATACTTACTAGATCAGCGGTTTGATCTTCATAGTAGATGATTTCATGTAAACATATATATTGTGAAATCCTGATAGCAATTGAAGCCGCTGACCATGAATGAGTGGAGAACTGTCCATTCCTATGACAACGAATCACACCGTCGACAAACGGGGGCTTTCGAACACATAAGCAAAGGCTCCAACCTCAGTTTCATCTCAATAATTTTGTAAGTTGTCCGAGAAACAATTTGGTAAGTTAACAAACGCATGCGATCTCCCTTTTTTAAGTATAAATTATTTTTGGAGATTGTGTTTTCTGTTAGATTCAGTTAAAATGATTTTGTCTTTGTCTCTTTCGACATTGGGCTTTTAGTTGCCGATAAACTCATGATCAAGCTTTGTTGACAATTTTATTCATCAAGCTATCAAAAGTTGTTTTCAATCAATATCAGAAAAAACTAGTCATGTAAGGTATGACATAAACCAGCACGATCATATGATCAGTTGACTCTCTCACCTAAATGCATGTGTTAATGTGAGTGTATACTTTTTCCAGAATCAACATGCAAAGAGTCCATAGTAGAAGATCTGAAGGAAGCGAGGCAGAGGTTGATGGATTAGGTAATTTTGCCCCTTGCAGTGTGTTGAAAAAACGTGAAAATTCACTTCAACCAGCCATATCAAAGTGTGAAGCCTCAAAGTGTCATCATTTTTTAATTTGTTCACATTGCTTCAGTCAGATTATCCAATCAGATGCCAATGATATCTACAAGAAACTCTTATTTAAACAAAAATAAAACAAAAAAAAAACGAGGCAACTGTATAATAATAATTTCAAATAAGACTTGGTGTTTTTCCTTTGATTTGTGTGAAAGAAAGGACATTTAGGGTTTACAGGGCTTATTACACTAGATTTTTTAAACTGTCAAATCACAAGCTAGATTGGTTTAAAAATTTTTTTTTTTGCATGAACCATCCTATTATCTTGTTATTCAAATCTCGAAATTTGAGAGATAATACTTCTGATTTGATACATGCTTAGGGTGTTACTTGATGCTTTCTTTTTATCTCTTGGGATACAGCTGAACAAGAGCTTGCTAAACTTCAGCGTCAATATCGAATAATCGAAGGAGACAGAAGGGCTTATAGTGAAGAGACACAGAATCAAATACGAAAACAGACGTAAGTTTGTTCTTTAGAATGTTGTATTTGTATTATGTGATTTCCTGTGACTGAGGCCAAAAAATCTGCATAGTGATACTGAAATTTTTGTTTATCCTGAAAATTAGCATGACATCAGTTATGAACATAGTTAACAGATTTTATTTGGTAAAATACACTTTGCACATCACTACTGAGAAGTACAGTGTATAGTTATGGTGTATGTTGATCATTAGCCTTAGTACAAATTATTTTAATGTATTACTATCCAAGGGGTATAACTTTTGGGGCCAGAAAAGTACAGGAGCAAGCGCAAGATGAGAATTGGATATTATAACAACTTCTGTAGTAAAGTGCAACAGACCATAGGACAAATATCATCAGTATAGTAATGTAATAATAATAATAATAATAATAATAATAATAAGCTTTATTTCAACTGATAAGACTAATCAGCAATCTAATAGATTGGCTGGTATAAACTAGTGATCAGCATGATAAATAGTATCAATCAAAATCAAAGGACAAACCCTATAAATAACTAAAGTATGAATTAAAATAACATAAAATATATAGAAAAGGTAATACTTATTTTAAACTACATAAATGATTAGATTTATTGTGTTCTAAAAAATATTCAAAACTATTGCCTTAAATTTAGATAAAGACTGTATCTCTTGAATGTCCTTTGGTAAAAGATTCCACTCCCTAGCAGTGGTACATTTAAATGACGTTTGACCCATTTTGGTCTTTGTTGCAACAATGTTCAATAAGGTAGAGTCTCTAAAATCTCTGGTATGAAAGGCTGATCTCTTAAGGAGATAGTTCTCTAATTGCTGTGGGCAATTTATGTTATGTATAATCTTAAAAACAAGATTAAGTCTTAGGAATCTACGTCTACTCTCCAATGATAATAAGGAAAGCTTACTACGCATTTCTTGAGAACATGTATTACGATTTGTAGAGAGGATAGTATGCATGGCCTGATTTTATAACCTTTCTAAATGCTGTGAGTTGTTCTTTCCACAGTCCCCCCATACGATACAGCCATGGTCTACTATGGGCAATATCGTTTGTTTATAGATATTTAAAAGCACCCTTTGACTAAGAAAGGGTGCAATTCTATTTAACATCTTAAGCTTGGGATATATCCTAGAGGCTAAATATGTAATATGCTTGTTCCAGCTAAGAGTATTATCTATATAAACACCTAAATATTTGAAGTCTTCACACTGTTTCAGTAGCCTCCCACCCATAATGATTTGTAAGTCTGGAGCATTTTTCACTGCGTGTTTTGATCCTATCAGGATTGCTTCGGATTTCTTGTGATTGCAGATAAGACCATCAGTACTGAGCCGATCGGTAACTCTTCCAAGATCTTCATTTACATACTGTTCAGCAATTTTAACATCTTTAGAGCTGGTGTGTATTCCTGTATCGTCGGCATACAATACAATATCACAGCTATCACAAACGTCTGAAATGCTATCTATATGAATA